AGATAGATGAACGACAGAATGGAGGCGACATTCACCCGAAGTTTGATGGAGTAATCTTCAAACTGGATGGATACTTGGTATCTAGCTTGAATGACCACAATGTGAAATGGTTCAGACAAATCACACCTAGCATATCTATCAAGGAGGGTCTAACCTCCAAGCTTGTGATGCTAGAGAATTAACTAAAATCACTGGAGCTGGGGGCCTTCTTTCCCAGGAAGGCACTGCCTGCTGATTATTATTAACAGCGATCTATACTGGTTACTGTAAATTAGACTACCTTATGTTCAATCTCCAAGTGACTAGGAACCCTCTATGCAGATTCGGTCATGATGAGAATGAAACAGCCTTTCACATCGTATGTTGATGTGATAGGTTTGCAAGGCTAAGCTATTTGGGGAGACCAGATGGATAACCCTCAGAAGCTATGAGTCCACTAATCCTTTAAGCTTATTAGTCGTTTTAGTAGTAAAACGGACAAAAACACATGGGACACTATAGAACCTTGCGGGTGAATACGTTTCTTCAAATGAGATACGTTTCTTGTAGAAACCATTACAATCTACAATTTTGTTCATGTCCACTTTTATCTTAAAACTAACAGATTCCCAAGTATCTGCCTTGAAAATCTCCTAAAGGGGTAAATTATAGCTATACGCTTCAAATAATTTTCAACTATGGATGCTTTTTACTTGAAACCAGTAAGTATTAAGCCTAATGATTAATAGAACATTTTTAATGCAGAATATAACGAGGAGTATTTTTGTTCCTATTCATTATTACCGTCCGATAAATGGATTAGAGATTAAATGAGAATAACTAACAGAGTATCAAATTTATGGATGAGAAGGTTTTTTTGCGAATTAGATGTTTCATTCACCAGGCAGGTAGGAACTCTTTTGATTTTGGTTTTTTTTTTCCATTATTTTTACTTTTTAATGGTTTCTGTTCAATAGCCATTAAATGATCATTACCAAACAGTCTCTCCTTTCCACACCTCCCACCCTAAACCATACGATTTCTGTAACTCCTCAGTTTATGTGTGACCTTCAAACCATTGACAATTGTTAAGAAACTATTTATATTTGTTAATCTCTATTCCTATAATTGAAGAGAAGGATGGTTGGGATGATCAGTCAAAATAAAATGGTAAAAATAAATAAATGTAATTTTTTTACTTTTTTACTTACATTTATTTATTTTTACCATTTTATTTTGACTGATCACTCCAACCATCTTTCTCTTCAATTATCCACTACAGTCAACCATAAACCCACAAGTATGACTCTATTTCTATAGGTTGTTTTCGCATATTTCTTAATTTTTATTTCCATATATTGTTGTTGCACCCCTCTACTTTATTGAATTGTTTTATTTATACTAATTATTACCTTTATTTATTTTTTACTATTAATACAGTCTTCTTCAATTATTTATAACACAAAATTTTCTTAGCATATTGTAATGATTTTATGATTGTTATGGTTTATAAGACCGTTATCTCATTTGTACGTTTCATCTATTTCTTCTCTTATTTACGTACTTTTATATTTATCCTTTTTCTGATGTTATTTTGTATTTTTTAATTTTTAACCCTGACGATGACCCAAATGTTTGGGTCGAAACATCAGCAAACTCAAACATAATTTTTTTACTGCACACCCTGACCATTTTTCATCCATAGAACTTAATTTCAACAGTCAACTATGAATCCATCTCAAAATAAATTCAACAATTATTTTTGAACTAACCAAATACTATTTACAGCAAGTTATAAAATAAAATAAAAATGTAAGTAAATAATTCATATTTACTTAAATACATGTAGCTATTAGACAATATGTAATAACTTCCTATAATAATTATTAAACCTACCAATATTTTTACAGAATGAATCAAATACTATTAGTATCCATCACTAACAGGATTAAAAACAAACCGATGCTCAGAATTAGAAAAATAATAAAACAAAATGAAAGGTCATACCATGCAAAGTGAGGTTATTAGAAAGTACAAGGGAAATAAAAATCATGCATTTCAAAATCATTTGGGTGAACCAAACCCAGTACCTCTAGCTTCACCTTCCACCTCTTTCATTAATACCTGATTTTTTTGTAAAACGTTGTTTTTGTCGCTTAGGGCGCCGCGGGGCGCCACTCGTTGGTTTTGTCATCACTCACTCTCACCTAAGTATATACAATAGGTTAAAATCTGGGCTTCCAAAATTTAAGGGCATATTCAAAATCTAAATTAGTTGTGTACGAACTAAATCCATAAGGACAATTAAAATTTCAATTGTTATCACTTAAGTTACCATTAAATTAAGGGAAAATAGATTTCTTAATAGAATAGAAATATTTAAAAAAAAAATCACAATTAATAACTATACAACCTAGACTATAATAACTACTATTACCTAAGTGATGACTAATATCATGTTTGTGATAAAATAAAACTTCATGACTTGGTAGAGATCGTAAATTCAGTTTTTGTAGTTTATTTCTGCTTGTTGGTACATAAAATTTTGTCAACAGAATGTTTATTTAGATTTAAATAGAAAACTAACAAACATTTGTAAAAAATAAAAGGTGTTTTACATTAGGGGAAGGTAATTACATCAAATACAGTGTTTTAGCAGAGAAAAGAACAGCAAAACTTTATAGTCCCAACTTACTAAAATGACCTACTGTATTTCCTTAATAAAAATAGTTATAACAATAGAGGGTACCAAGTTTTGAAACTTAACTTATACAAAATCATCACAAAGTGCAACCGATCAGGTAAACAAAACAGAAATAAATAAACTATGGACATGACACCACTAACTACCTTTAATAGATAAAATTAAATCAACTAATATTTCAATTCACACTGGATAACAATCTACAAACCAGCAACCCAACAGTTAATTAGTTAAGGTTTCTTACGATAACACTTCATCAATATTCTTAACTGAAAGAATTCTTTTAATCTGAATTACTAAGGAAGGTTTAAATTGATTTTTTTTTTTTTAGTTTGTACACAAAACTATAAACATGCAGCCAATAATTGTTGCAAAAGGTTATAGTAAATAATTATGACATTCATTAGAATTTATATTCTCGAGACAGGACAATATTGCCAGGCCATTATTGAAATCGGATAATTAACTAAAGACACTAACTAGAGAAAAAAAAAAATTCTTCAACTTAAATAACATCAGAAGCAATTGTTCAACATCTCAATAACCAATAAATAAATAAAATTATACCATGTAATTATAGTATTCTTTAATCAAATATACATGGCACTTAAAATTATGTGATGTAGGCAATAATTATGTGCATTTATCATAATTTTTTTTTTTTAATTTAATGTGAAAAAAATACTAACATGAATGTCAACAATATAGAGGTAACTTAAAAGAACTCTTATACCATAAAGAAAAAAAGAAGTCCTCGCTAAGAAAACAATTTATTATTGAGAATCTACCCAACTAACCCCTTAAATAACAAAGAATAAATTAAAAAATATTTGACACTTTAATACATATTAAGACCAGCAAGGTGAAGAAAAATTTTAAGGTGATATATTAACTACTAAAAACTTAATTGGTAATAAAATGAAAATAAAGGACTAAACAATAATAGAGTGAGAAATGACTACCTAAAAGGTGTTATTATTTCAAAGATCATTTCAAATTTTCAGAAAGTACAATCATGGAAAGCGAAACAATAGTGAAATGTATCGAAGGAATAAGAAATAGATAGTGTCAAACGAAATACTAATCAACCTAATAAAAAATACAATAAATAAAACATAACTCCTAAAACTCTTATCTAATTAAGACAACAAACAGAAGTTCTGTAATGAGTTATTTTTCAGTATTTACCATGCAAATATTCTTAAAATGAATTCGATAATTCATTAAAAAAAACAAAAACAAAAAAACTAACAGATATTAAAATCTTTTAAAACTGCAGTGCCTTCTCTAGTAAATCCAGGCATGTGCGACCTACAAGAACAGTCTCCATGCTACCTTCAATGTTTGTAAAATAAAGAAAACAAAACAAATTTAAACCAAGAAATAGACATGACAACATAACAAATAAGTTAAAGGATAAAGCATGCACTTTGGAAGTAAAACAAGCCCTAAACAGGATATGAGCCCATTCGAATAAATAAAATAAAAGTACGTACTACTGCCACAGTTCAAATATAAAAGGTAATGAATAAACAAACCATTCTTCTAAAATAAAATATAATTATACAATAAACTTGTCAATAGAGCAATGAAATAAATTATTACCTCAAATCACTCAAGGAATCATTTTTGTTGTGTCCAATTAGTGCTGCATACCTGGAACATTTTAAATATTTTGAGTTTAAAATAAATTATCAGTCTCCTGAGAAATGGTAAAATAAAATACAGAGAAAAATAGGATAATTTTGAAAAATCAACCAAGTTTCAGTGAAGTTGACAAACATTAGCATGAATCAATACAAATACATAATGAAGACCTCAAATTTATAATTTTTACAAATAATCAAATCATCTCTCTTCAGTTGGATCTTCTTGAGCTACTTCAAACACTACAAATACTTTATAAAAACAGAAAAGGAAACCTACTTGTTTGAAATCCTCTAAAAAGAACACTGAACACTGGGAAACATAACTGATTGAGTTAGCCCTAAAATTAAGTATCATAATACCGGCAGTCAGCAAAATAACTCTGGTGTAACATCACTGAACACTAAATGTTTTGTAAACATTAACTACTCATTACAAAAAAAAAATATCAGATATGATAAAGAAAGCAAATAGATGATATTATTTTGTATATGACAAGTTCAGTTATTCTTTTAAGAATATCACCATATAGTTCTATTTCACTACATTAGTATGAGATTAACCAATACCTAGTTGCTATTTTAAAATTATTTTTAAAACGATAATAAAAATTAAATATTTATGCTGCGAAACGATTTATCTAGTTGCTCTTATCACAATAATGTGGGAGGTAATATCTGGTTACACGGCGCTAGATGGTTTGAATTGAACTATCACCCAAAATTTCTAGTACACTGTTGATATTTAATGTTTTTTGATAATTTTATTCAATGAGGCCTAGACAACAGAGAAGAAGTCGTATATTTGAGGTTGGAGTGCTTATGCTGATTTCTGAATTGGTAAACATAGGATATGATGCAATACCTCCTGTTACACTATTATCTATCATAGGACAGGTAAATTTCCATCAAAATAATCTTGATTTATTTAAAATCAAAACTTTCTTACTTTAGATACATCTATATCTCAAAGAGTATATCAAATTTAACTTCAAGTTTAATTTTTTCTTTTCAAAAAAATATTTCTTTGAATACAGCTTCTTCTTTTATTTTATTTTTTTATGTTCCATTTTTTATATTAGAAAAATAAATTTTCTATTCCATGTTAATCTCATTCCTACTTTTTTCCTGATATTCTTGTTCCACTATTTTTGCTTTCTTCTTCTTCTGAATGTGTTCTTTTGAAGATATTGGATTTAGTTGATATAAACTATAAACCACCCACTCTTTTAAGATCTAAGTAAATATAAAAGCTGTGTAAATCATGCTTGAAAAGAAGTTTTGCCAAACGTTGCTCTATCTCACAATAATGCATTTGTATTTGTAGGGATATATATTGTGCTTATTATTTTTACTTTCAGGTCTTACTTTATGTTGGTGTCATTGATGTTCCTTGGAGTAAGTGGGATGTTTGCATCAGTGGGCATAAGATATGGCACAAAAAAGATTTCAGACCTCTCATTTTTTCAACATTTGAACATGCTGATGATATGCACCTTTATTATAATATGGTATCTTACTTAGTTAAAGGCCGAAGTTTAGAATACCAGTATGGATCTCCAAACTTTGCTCTTATATTGGCTATAATTTCACTAATGACATCTGGGCTGTACGTAGTTTTGGCAGTTGTTGGATCTAATATATTTGGGAATAATGCTATTATGTCAAGTTGTGCAATAGGGTTTTCTGGTATGTTTTGACTGTTTATGTATATTATATTCAATGTTTCCCAAACTGCATTGTTCACTTTAATTTTTTTAGGTGTTATTTTTGCTTTGAAATTTATTACTACACATGAAGACTCTGAAGGTTATAGATACATCCAAGGAATTCGTGTTCCTACAAAATATGCAACATGGGTAGAATTAGTAGCTATTCATATCCTTGTACCTAATGCATCATTTATGGGACATTTTGCTGGAGTTTTAGCTGGGATATTGTATACTAAAACATTTGTAGGGACAATTATAGATACATTAGTATACCAAATAACAGGTAAGTTAATAATATCATTGTATCTTAAGAATTTTAAATTATATTTATTTGATGAAGATAGTGTGTGCTTTTGACCCTCCATCCCTCTCCTAATTATAATAATAATAAAAGGCTTAGCGAACCCGAAGGTTCGATGCTTACACCACCAATCGCTATCTACACACCTCCCTCTACCGGTCGCTATCCAAACCCAGCCCCTTTAGATCGGCCTTTACGCAATCTTCCCACCTTCGCCCCAGTCTACCCCTTGGACGGTTACCAGCCAGTTTAGCAAAATTAACGTTTTAGGAATTCTTTTGTTACTAAGTCCAACAATTTCACAAGCCCATTTTATTTCCCATGATGTCACCTCAATTATATTAACTTGATACAATTCATCTCCTAATTATAACAAATTAAAACTCATTACTAATGCTGTTTAATATAGCTTACGAGAAAAGGTGGTAACAATAGCGTTATGTATAAATGGAGTACGTCATAAATCATAAAGTCTTAGGATACAAGGATGAGATAGCAGTTTACGTAAGTGATCAAGAAGACATTAAGAGACCCTAAAACTCTGAAAATGGAAGATAGTAAGGTGAAAAATTTATCGCAGCAACAGGATCTACATAGATAAATAATTATTCCCAATAATAAAAAGATTCAAGACTCCAAAATAACCTTAATAAATGAACAGTTATCAGAGATAGACCAGCAAATACAAACAAATCATGATTGTTTCTGTCAAGAACACTGAAATCCAAAATTGTGCATATATATTCTAGTTTACATATTATTTACTATATTGTTTGCCTAGATGACATTTTACCTATGAACTTGTTTGCAACAACAATGATATTTTTATCTTCAGTGGCAGTTTTAAAAAATCGTCCTGCATGACGCTATACCACTCTGGTTTTCAGTTTTTAGATTCTGTAGTTTTAGGTTAAATTAATAACTGTTTGTTATTTTTTATTTCAACCATTTTTGCATTTGATTTTTAGACAATAATTAATATGTTTAAGGGCAACAAGTCTACCATCGCAACCAACCACAATATAGATCCAACAGTCGAAGAAGTCACCAATTCGAGTACAATAGTAATAGCTATAGCTCGAGATTTAGCTTCCTCAATAGTTTCTTTGGACGATCTTATGGAGAATATAGGTCATATTATGATTGAGAAAAGCAATTTAAAGGTCAGTGCAATTACAAAATCTTGTTTACATAATTCAGAACAACATAGTGTTATTTCATTATATCAGTTCATAAATGCGATTATAAAATCAAATTCAATTCTGATTTTCTTTTTGTGTTTCATCAATGTTTAAATATAACATCACATAATATTAACACATTCATCATGTGTAAAATAATAAATATTATTATTATTCTGTTTATTTTGATTTCATAAAGTTTTCATTTTTAAAATTCAAGACCATTTTCCGTCAATGTTTTATTTTTATAATATCATTCTTTATGACGTTTCAGCCCCTGCTTGGACCATTTTCAAGTCCGAAAATTTATATATATATATATATATATATATATATATATATAGAATAAAATGAATGTTTTAATTGTAAAAAAAAAATCTCTCTCTCTCTCTCTCTCTCTCTATATATATATATATATATATATATATATATATATATATATATATATATATATATATAAAACATATCTTATAAATACTGTTTTTTTCTTCATTAATTTATGTTTTCCATCATTATTTATATATTTTTATGAATTTTATTATTACCTTAAATCAGTCTTCTATCATCGAAGTCATTATCTTTTTTTTTTTCTTTAAAAATGTCTATTCATTTTGGGTTTCTTCTGTCATCTGGAGGTACTGACTAAGATCGTCATGGTTTCTCTTTATTTTCTGGATTGAGTTATTTATTTTATCTAAAGTGTGATTTTAAATTTATTTATAATTGCATTATTATATTATATCAGAATATTTTAAATTATTTTTGTGTTAAATAAAGAAAAATTAAATTGAAATTTGTTTACAAATATTAAATAACTTATCAAATAAACTAAAATTTATAATAGGAATAGAACAAAATCAGATTTCTGAACATTATAATATATAAAAATGAAATAGATCAACTGACAACAGCCTGGTATAAACAAACCATAACCAGGAATAGAATTTTAAATTGGTACAGTAACCATTGCCCAAATCAAAAAATTAATTTAGAAAAAGACTTCATAGATAAAGCTAAATCGAGTATGGATGATATCTATATCAATACAATTAAAACTGAAATCTGTAATATTCTACTTGACAATTGGTACCCAATAAAAATCATAAATAAAATATAATTGAAAAGACATAAAATTAAACAAAATCATAACAAACCAGATCACAAAAACCTGCCTAAATAAAAACTGAATTAAATCAAATTATTTCAGAAATAATAATTCTGAAATACCTAATAATCATGAAAATCAAAAACAAAACTTACTAAATGCCAAAAATTTTGAAAATAATTTAGAGTAATGTAACACAAAATATTATTCAATAATATTTAAGATTTAACTAGAAAAATTTAAAGACTTTCAATGAATATGATTTAATAAAAATTAAATTATATAAAGAAACAATAAATAAAATTGAAAAAAATATATACAAATGCGAAAGACAATATGCCACATGAAATTAAAACTAAAGTTATATGTAAAATAGATTGTATAAATTCTACAAACAAATCCTATTCTGGATAATTTTTCTCAGAAAGAATGAAACAGCATAAATAAATGCATTTTTAAATCAAGAAAATCAAATGCATTAACCAGCCTTTCACAGCATGCAACTTATAATAAATATGAATTTGATTTAAAAAAAGTATATAGAAAGAATAATCTCTCTATTATATAAAAAAGTTTTTAGTGGCCATGTAATATTTTATTTCCCAATCTCAACAAATTAAAATGCGAGGATAAAAACTAAAAATTTATTTTTTTTCCCCTGATTATTTGCCCTCGGGCAGTGGAAGGAATTTATTACATGTTTATATTGTATTATTGTATACTATATATGTAATTGTTTCAATAAACTTTTTGGAGGGTAAGAAAAAAAAAAAAAAAAAAAAAAAAAAAAAAAAAAAAAACCTGATTATACTATCTATTAAAAAAAAAAAAATAACATCTGAACTACAGAATACATGTAAATTACAGTTATACAATTTGAGCACAAAATAGTATAATTAAATGAACAGTTGTATAATTGATAAAATGTGGATTAGTCTGCTGTTAGGCCAGGAGTTACCCCTCTAATATTAATAACAGAAAAATTGAGTATATATATAATACCAAAAAATCTGTAAACAACCAAACCGATGGAAGCCCATTCGAGTGTTTCTACCAGATGGCGCATCCTGAAATCTTAAAAGACGTCCAGAAAGACAAATTTTTTTTTATTTTTTAAAAATTCTATTTTGAGTCACCCTGGTGGTTCTTAGCTTTCAAAAATGCATTTTAACTCTTTTATTCAACATTTAATAAGTGGGACATATGTCTTCCGGGCACAAATAGCAATGCAAAATTAGAGCAGTGATTCCGCAACACTTCACTTATGTATTTGCTTATTTCTGAAAAGCAAAATAACTAAAAATTATCATAAAAATAACTGTAAGTGATCATAAAAATTAAACTATATTATTTCTAAAAAAGGACACTGATGGCGAGATTCAAATTTTATATTTCTTTGTATTTACAAATTTTTATCTTACCTAAAAAAGTTTCATATTGGAACAGCGCAGTTATAAATTTTATTATTTCACTTACAGTTATTTTGAGTTTCAAACACTTATATGAAATATATATATTGTTTTTTGGTGGATAGAAAAATGATAAAACAACTAAAGTATCATTTTAAATCTGTATATTTTTACATTTATTTAGCACTTGGATATGACACAAATAACAGAGAAAGGACATACCTTGGTTTCAGAATAAATCTGCAACTGATAGCTTCCAAATGGTCAGAATCTGGAATGACTGCACTGAGTCAGCCTTTGAATACTAATGAATGCACCAACCAAGCGAGAAGTGAAGGCGGGACTTGCTCTTACCTCTCTAAGTGGCGACAGCCAAGGCGGGAAGGCATATATCCTTGCCGCACTAGTGACCCGACTCCTTACCGGAAGGCATGTATCCCGTCCGCAGTCAAAGGATTAAATAAAATAAATAACTCAATTCAAAATAATAAAGAAAAATCCCTTTCCTTTTTACTTTCGCTAACATGAGGATCTTAGTCAGTTCCTCTAGATAACATATCGGAAACTCAAAATAAATAGAGACATTTTTCCTTTTTCTTAGCTAAAGAAAAAAGGATAATAGTTATGTATGCGATGAAAGAACAATGATGTAAGGTAATAATAAAATTCAAACATGTTAGGAGAAAAAATGTATAAATAATAATGTAAAACATAAATGACTGAAAAATCAAGATATGAATAAGATATGCTATATATGTAAACAAAATTGAATTGTAGTAAAATTATACCAAATTTTCAGACTTGAAAATGGCCCGACTTTTAAAATAATTTTGAATTTTGAAAAATGAATATATTATTAGTGTTATTATTAGCTGGGGTTTTGACCTAGTTGTTGGATCAAAGCCTCCCATAATTTATGTTGCTATTCTTCTCTGTTTCTTGCAGCTAACAAGTTCCAGAACAAACTTCCAGTTTCTGACACTAAGGTGGTATGCATAGTCGTCCCTTATACTCCACTATTCCATTATCATCCCTAAAATGCTGGTGGTCAGAGTCTACCCCTTCAACTTCCCTTTTATTATAGGGGACATAGAGGGCCCCCAAAACTCTCCTTTACTCCTCCCACTCATTACAACTTATATTTAACTGATAACAAATGTAACTATCGTGTTATTATTATTATACTTCTACCTAAATAAAATCTAGTGAAATGAAATTCTTGCTTCAAACTATTTTCTGAGTATTTAAGAGGTAGATAAAAAGTTAAAAAAGAAAAATTTTATTGAGAACATTATTTTCTCCACTCCACTTCATAGAATCAGTTTGATATTAGCCAGATAATGATACATAACCGCTTCTTCTTTTCTTGAACATTGGCGCAAAAAGATGTTAAAATATCGATTAAGCATCAAGTAAATAAAGGAGGTAACTGGACTGTTCAAATACATAATAAACTATTGTTATTTCTTTTTTAATCTACTTATTATATAGATGAATGATATACAAAAAAAAAAGATTTCGTGGAGAGGAGTTACAGTTCCTCACATCTCTAGTTCTCGAAAAAGCTATTATAGAAAATAAAGATACAGATACTGTTTCAAATACAAAAAAAACTTGGGAGGTAATTCTTGCCGAATTCAATGCTAATGGATGTATTTTCACTTAAAAGTATTTAAAAAAACAATTGAGTTACTGAACTTCCTATGCTAAAGGTCCCGGGTTCGAACCCCGGCTCATGGCAGAAAATTTATTTATCTGTTTCATTGGCCGTGGGGCAACCCTGGGTCGGGAGACCCTCCTGCGGCACACCCAGCCTCTATAAAGTGGGTACCCTTAATTAAACAATTAATAAAGGGGGAAAAAGTGGCGGTTAAGCGTCATCTCGGTCAAATCACCTCCTTGCTCAACCGTTGACCTAGAAACAGTGCTTTCCCTAAATAGTACTGAACCCAAGACCCTTCATGGATTGCATTGGTACATGGAAAAAAACAAAAACAAAAATTGATATGTTTACTTTGACAGATAGTAAAAGTGACATAAATTAACTTTAAAAGAGGAACAAAATATTTTAAGTCATAACTAATGAACTTTATAATTCTTTAAAACATTAATTTCTTTTTGCGGATGCTCAAGTCAAAAAATAAAGTTTGAATTTAACACTAAATAATCAATTAATCATTTATTATGAAAATGACTTATACCACTTCATTCAATCCTTCCATTAATAAATAGTTTTGAATACCTGATGAATTATCTACTTCAACTTCCCTTTGTCTGAAAATACCTAGTTCTGCTTAAAAACAAAAAAAAAAAATACCTCTACCATCCACTTTCCTAATTTATCTGTTAGGCCCAATGGAAGGTTGTCTTAGGGAGCCATTAAACTATGCCAGAGTTTATCTGGCAGAGTTGGAGAACCAACTCGGGTTGTTACTTTATGGTTAGTTCTTGTAAAGTAATATAAATAAAATAATTTCCTGGAATAGAACCTGCTTTAGGGCACAA